CACTAAAATTTTAACTTATCAACCAAAACGATAACCCAGGTGATGTATAACGATGATTATCACATGATTATCACACTCATATCACATGATTACACCAAAAATTTAACTTATCAACCAAAACAATAATCCAAGTGATGTATAACGGTGATTATCACACCCCTATCACATGATTATCACACTCATATCACATTATTAGGGTTGCTTGTTGCATGCAATGGCTTCTCGATTAGGGTTCTTGGTCGATTACGGTTGTGTGTTCTTGGTTGGTCACCGTCGATCAACACCGTCGCCGTCCGTAGTTCTTGCGATTTGAAGTTAGACTTGTAATCGTAACCGTTTTCTAGATGATAATGATAAGTTTAAAAGATTTTGATTGTGTTTAATGATAAGTTTAAAAGATTTTAACCGTTTTCTAGATAATATATCATTTCCATTATTACCCTTTAAATTTTAAATTTTTTTGAATCTTTTTAAATTTTAATTTTAATTTTAAAAATCTTTTAATTTTATTTTTTATCACAATATGTGGTTATTGAATTGTTCTCGCGTTTTCGTAAATCACAGGGGTTCTCGTTTGAACCCTTCCCTATATATATATATATAGGGTTGGGTTCACGTGATACCAGTCTGTTTTCATAAAACCAGTATTTTACACTTGAAACTTCACAGCAAAACGTGTAAAAGTAAAAAAACGATTCATCATCGGTGAGCAGTTATAAGCGTCTCTATAAACCTCAATCCGTCAAACCTAAGTGCAAATTTCTCTGAGCAACAACTCCTCTTCTCCGGCAAAGCATCGACACGGTGATTGATTGATGTTAATCCATGGTTCTACACAACAATCAAAAAGGAAGATTAATTGAAGAAAAATATTCGAATATAGGAGCAAAGATCGAGAACATCATTTGTTTGATTTGATTCGACTTCAATCGGCTTTAATTTTAGGGTTGATTTATGTACCTGGTCAGAAGTTTTGGAGCCAGTAATGGTGGTTGTAGCTGAAGCAGCTGCCATGGAAGCTGCAAGAAATCCAGGTATCTTCATGCTAATTCTGATCGAGAGAGATTGTGGAATTCGTTCAGGGGTTCAACTCGTATTAATATATGGCCAATAAGACAGACAGAGAGAGAGGGCTACATTTAATAATACAATTACAAATATAAACATGACAAAGCATCACAAGATTTAGGAGTGTTATGAGATTGTTTATTTGAAATAACTTATATTTTTCTACAAAAGCACTTGTCAACTTATTATAACCTTACCTTCTCATTACCAGAAACTGGTTTGCGAATACCATAAAGGATCCAATGATTCCAATCCAAATCTAATAATAAAGCAAACCACCCACCATTTTTCAAAAAAGGAACAACATAGCTTCAGAAATCACCCATCAGATCATTAAAAAAAAGAGGGACCAATGAACTATTGATTCCACCAGTTCAATCTCTAATCTAAGTCAAAAAGAAACCCAAAAAAAACTAGCTACTTATATAGACGAAAGATCCTCGTAAACCGTCTTGATTCCTGGCCTCTCGGAGAGCGGCCGTATACACCTTAACGCGATCCCAAGAACCTCCTTCATTCCCTTATCCGCAGCCGGTGTTCCCATTTCCGTTATCAACACTGCATCAAAACAATCGGGCCCGTGTCCTTCCGCCACCTTCAACCGCACCCAATCGTTCAAATCAACCCCACCACCATCTTCACCGGAGACCACATCACCCGCACACTTTCCGGTCAAAAGTTCCAACAAGATGACTCCAAACGCGTACATATCTGATTTGAAAGAAGGAAGCGGTCGTTTGGAAGCAGCCAGCTCGGGTGCACGATAACCTAGAACCCCAGCATCGAGAATCTGCTCTACGGTTCCTGCTTGGGTCATAAGACGGTGGAGACAGTAATCGGCAACACGGGCATTCAAATCCACACCATCTAACAGAATGTTGGTTGCTTTGAGGTTTCCGTGTGGAATAGCACGGTCAAAATGGAGGTAGTTTAGGCCACGAGCAATATCGACTGCTATTTTTAGCCTTTGTGCCCATGTCAATGGCGGCCCTTTTCTTCCAGGTCGATCTGCAACAACAAAAAGGGAATCAAACAAATTGACAACAAATATATACTCAAAAACATACATTACAACAAAATCACGTTTATAAGACGCAAAAAATGTCTAAATGTCCTAATACACTGCTTTATATAGGACTTGAGTTCGTGAATCCTATGTAAAAGTGTTGCAATAAGTTTACTTTACGCTTTTGAAGGCCTTGACAAGTTTTTAAAAGTGCCCCAAAATACCTGTCACGGCTCCCAAAAACATCCTATAAACTTATTGTAACACATTTACATAGGACCCACATTTGTCATGTCGAAGTCCTGTAAAGCAGTCTATTAAGACATGCATACAATTGTTTACGTCTTATAAACTCGAATTTGTTGCAGCTAGTAAGCAAACTGAAGAACGGGATTAGTACCATAGAGGAAACTCGCAAGGCTTCCTGGAGATATGTAATCCGAAAGAATTAGCTTCTCGTGTTGCGTGGGCCCCCAATAGTACCCTCGCAATCCGACGACATTCGGGTGTCGTATATTTGCAAACTTTTTAGCCTCCTTGGCGAAATCTTTTCTCTGTTTTGCAACCCCTTCTCTTAACCATTTGACAGTCAACAACAATCCGTTATCAAGTGTTGCTCTGTATGACGTCCCGTGGCTACTCCGACCCAAAACCTCGGCTGGGGCCCGTGACAATTCCTCAGGTGAAAATGAAACCGTGTCATCCAGAAAGTAAAGTTCACCCGCCAATCGATCGGGTGACCGCACATCGAGTCTAGAAAGATTTTCGACGGTATAAGAGTCTCCAGAATCCGGCGAATAAGAGAAACCACTGGTTTTAGACGGAGAGAAACTCGCCACTGCCCCTCCTCCACCTATCTTTTCAGGAGTAATCATCTCAGATGATGACCCTTTCCGTGAAGTCATTATATCGCCAGCTGAAATCACCATTCCTCCACCACTTCCGGCGGCAGTTTGCCGCCGCCGCACGTCCTTCGTGCCAACTTCTTGCGGAAGTGGCCGCCGTGATATACGCATGTAATGGATGAAAACCGCTAGAAGAATCAAGATCACTACAGCAATAACACAAGCAACGATCACCAGCACTTTAAAAATGGTTTTGATCGGTTTCTTCTTGTTGGATGAGGCACTGGGGTTCGGTCCCGGAGGTGGATTAGGAAACTGCAAGTCGGAATTTCCGGGGAAAAAAGCCGATTCGGGAAATTTTCGCAAATTCTCGGGAACAACGCCAGAAAGATCATTATAAGATGCATTAAAGCTCTTTAGATCGTCAGTCAAATTCTTTAACAATGGACCAGTGAAATGATTCTGGGAAATATCTAAAGAAACAAGATCCGAAAGTCCACCTAAAGACGGTGGCAAAGAACCAGAGAAATTGTTCCCCGAGACATCAAGAACTTGAAGTCCAGTTAACAAACCAAATCCATCAGGAAAATCGCCATCGAGCTGATTATCAGAAATATCAAGAACTCGTATGTTGGAATCGTTAGAGAAAGAAGATGAAAACAAATCAACACTTCCCACAAGTTCATTATTTGGAAGATGAAGTTCTTGTAGAGTGGGCATAGATATTAAACCATTTGGGAACGGTCCACCAAACCGGTTGAACCCCAAATCAAGAACCGAGAGTCTAGGAAACATCGTGATTGCTTTCGGGATGGCTGAATCAAGAGAATTATGAGAAAGATTCAGGTGGTTAAGCCGTAAGAACTGCGCGATGACCTCTGGGATCGAACCAGTTAACTGATTCTGACTAAGATCAAGAAACTCTAGGTTCCCCCATTTCACCAGTTTGGTCAGGTTTCCATCAAACTTGTTCTTCGACAAATCTAGAACCGTACAACCACCAGTGACCAACGGAAGCTCACCCGTGAGCACATTGTTGGATAGATTAAGAACTTGCAGTGTTGTCGACATAATCATACTAATCGACCCTGCAAATTTGATTAAAATGTTAGAAAAAAAGTACATACAAGTGCACAAGGAAAGTTCCAATGAAGACCATAAATATATTAACAGCCCCGAAACCAGCTATCATGAATTATTCATCATGAATAACCTAAATTCATTAATAGTGTTCAGATATTTATTATGAATAAAGCATGAATAGTTGGTTCTCAGGCAATAACAGAGATTTACCTGTGAAATTATTGCCACTCAAATCTAACTCGGTTAAAACCAACGAATCGCCTCTCAGAAGATCATTCGGTATAAAGCCAGAAAACCTGTTATTCGAGAGCTTAAGAACCTGAAGATCATAAGCGAAATTGAAACTAGGAAGTTCACCGGCGAATTGGTTGTAGCTCAAATCCAACACAACCACGCTCCCGAACATCTGTGCCACGCCGCCAGTAACTAAAGATCCGGTTAGCTGGTTACGACTAAGATTCAAGTATTTGACAGTATCAGAAATCCCAGCTAGGAACTTTTCTTGTTGACTCGAAGAACTTACTAGAAGATTCCCACTAAAGTCGACATGAATTGCAGTTGTTAACAGCAAGAATTGAGCATCAAAATCACCATCAAACATGTTCCCATGCAAATCAAGAACCTCAAGAGCAACCATATCTTGAAACCCACTTGGAATTTTCTTCATAAACCCGTTTTCAGATAAATTTAGGTAAACCAAATTGTTCAAATGTGTCAAAGATGGTGGAATTGGCCCTGAGAACGAGTTTCGACTCAAATCTAACGATTGTATCGAGTTAAGCCCCGAAATCCAATCAGGAATGGGTCCAGTAAAGTTGTTTCCAGCTAAAGATAGATTCTTTAAGCTCTGAACTTTACCGATATCCAGCGGTAGAGATGAATTAAACAGATTATCAGAAATATCAAGAAATTCAAGCATTTCAGCAATTTTTCTCGGAAATTTCCCCGAAATCGAATTGTTCGAGATCGAAAGCTTTACCAATTTCGTGAGGTTTGCAAACACATCCAAATCAACATCAGCTACTAATGAATGATGATCAAGAACCACACCAGCAACATTACCACCATTACACATGATTCCATTCCAAGAAGAAGGACACCCATTGAAATCAATCGATTCCTCATTCCAAGAACTAAGAACAAACGCCGTTGGATCATGCTTGATTCCTTTCTTGAATTCAAGCAATGCTAAAATGTCCTGTGAAGGAAGCTGACTCATAGCAGGACCGATAAACATAACCACCAATAAAACCTCCAAAATCATCTTCATCAAGTTAAGCTCAAAAAGGTTTTGAACTTTTCTGAAAGCTAATTTAGACCCTAAAAGTAGGTTTCATATAACAAAGATGGGTTTGAAGCTTAATTTCACATATATAAATCTAAAATCGAAGAAAAACCCAAACGACAGAATCCATCAAGATCCAGAAAACAATACGAGAAGTGAATTGGGATCGACAGAATGTGGATGCAAGAGCTAAAACGGAAGCAATGCAGAACAAAATGCTTGAAGAAAAACAGTTTTCAGCTACAAATGGATTCTGGATTTTTCAAGATTCAGCAAATCTCTTACCGTGGCGGTGGTCAGGCCGTACTTATAACAGCACTGTAGACTGTTCAAAAACCCTCTTTTTGAAATAAAAAGTTCAAGCTACAAAGAACCTGCGACTACAGATTTGCTGCATTTTAGTTGGTAAAGAGGGTCTGAAAGGATGAGGTTGTGCAAGGCGGTGGCGCGACGGAGGAGGTGGTGGGGGTGCGGCGGCAGAGCAAGCGTGGGCACTGGGCAGTAGCGCTCTCTCTCGTCTCGGTGACTGATTTAAGGTTGGAATTGTGGAGTGAATGGGCCTTTGGTGCTCCTTTACTTTGTCTTTTTTCAATTTATTTCTGTTCAAGATAAAGAAATTCTTTATTTCCTTTTTCAATTTAATGTACTCCAAAAAAAACAAATTGAATAAAATATAATAATAATAATAAATCACTTTCAAATATTTTTATATATAGATTTATTTATGACTATTAAACCCATTTAAAATTTTGCAATATTCTCTAATTTTTGGTAAGATTATGTTTCCAAACCTACTACGTGTTTCATAAATTACTAGTTGTGTATCTTTGTAATGTGGTGGAAAGCCGTGAATTTTAACGATTTTGAAGTTTCATTGGTTTTATTAGAGAAGATTTAACGATGATATAAATTACATTTGATCTTTACATATTAATACAATTTGAATAAATAAAAGTTATGGTTCCAATTACAGTTTATCGATAAAAAAAAATTGTATGACAGTTTAAAATCCAATATATTTAAACGATTTCACAAATACATTCGATTTATACCAAGAGCAAAGAATCAAGAGACCAAGACCGAAAGTTCTAGAGCAATTGAATGAGTGAACTTTTAATAACTAATGGTGAATATCAATTTGAATCTCATCTTGAGGGATGGGGAGAAGACATAGAGGGATGAGAAGGTGAAGACATGAGTGAAATGTAAAGACATGAGTGAAATGTGTTAAAATTATCTTGGGAACATTAAAAAGAAAAAGTAATAATATTCATTGGTAACTTGTACTATATGTTATTTTAATTATAGATTAAAAGATTTTAAGACTAAATGCATAAAATAGTAGTATTTAATGTATTATGAGTTGTTTTTAAGACTTTTAAGACTTTGTGCTTTAAAAATTGTTTTTTAAGATTTTTGAAAAATCTGGTTTATAAGATAATATAGATTTATAATATTAATATTAATTTTTAATTCCATTTCTATTTTCTATAATATATATATATATATATATTCTTTAAAAAGGGTTGGTAAAAGGAAAAAAGCAGAGCACTTTCAATCTTTTGATAATTAATTAATTAAAGTCTTTTAATTAAATTAAAAAGCGGGAAATGGAACGTATTTTTTGGGTATAATCTGTCGCTAAGCAAAACTTTTACCCGCCAAAAGAAATTTTCTGTACTTTTTCCAGGCCTTAATTAGCTAAATCCAGATCAACGTACATCTTCTTTTGCACATCGTACAAACCTTAATATTTGGAAATGAGCAAAAAGGTGGAATCTTTTTATAATGGACGTCAAAGTAAGTATAAAATGTGTAGTTAAGTATGTGTGGTGGGGTCCGGTAGTGTTAAATAAGGGGGGATGGTTACCAAGAGCATAGGGAACGTGGTCAGTGGTGGGACCCATGAAGTTAACGGCTGTTAACGGAAGGGAGTGTCGCTGTCAAGTTATTATAACCGGAGGTGAAGTAGGTGTTAGGGTTAAGATGGGTAGGGACGACGTATGGAGACAAAGCCACAAAGGAGATATGCTTTGTTAAAAGGTCCATCAAATGGATTTGCTTTTTTTCTTATATATAAATAAGATGGTCAAATAGTCAATGCATTATAGAAATTAAATATAAATTTGTTGTAAATCAAATAAATTTGGTGATGGAGTTTGGGATAATTAAGATATATGCATACCTGACGGTTATCATAAAAATAGATCAGGTATTTTTATAAACACTTTTGACTTGTGAAAAAAGCTGGTTAAAAACAGAAAACGCATATCAGATAAATTTTTAAAAAAAGGACTAAGAATGAGTAAGCAGTATCATACAAATATAAGTAGGTTTGGGAAAAAAAATCAAGGTAAAGATATTATACAGCCTTACGGGTCGTTTACCAAACGCTTAACGGGTAAGCGTTTACGTTGTGTTCTCAAAACCATTTTCATAAAGAAAGAAAAGGAAAGTAAAAAAGTCGTGTTCTTGAAACATTTTTAGGAGGGAAAGATAAGGACACAGAAGGAAAATAATGATAAATTTCCTTCTAAAACTTTCCTTCCAAACGTGGGAGGAAATGGTAGTAAAGGAAAGAAATTAAAATCATTTAAAAAATTATAAATATAGCATTTTTAAAGGGTATATTTATAAAAATGACATCTTTCTTTCTTTTGAACAATGTTTATTTAGATGATGTTTTTTTTATGGTACTATCAAATATAAATCTATGATATATTTGGAGCTTAAGATGATGTTCTTTTGTGATTTATATTTGCAAAGTCATACGTGGATCAAAACGAGATCATTATGATTGTAGTTATTATATATTGGTATTTGAGAAAAGGAGTTTCAACAAGAATGGAAAGGGTGAGAAATAACACTTCGATTTTGATTGGAAATGCATATACACAAGAATTATTAAGTGAATCATACACGCAATGCCATGAATTGATACGTTTATCTTGTGATGTCTTTATAATGTTATGCAACCATTTTAAACAAAAGAATTGGTTGCAATCAAGTAAGCATATAAGTGTTGAAGAAAGATCGCAATTTTTGACAACTGTTGCTCACAATGAACATTTTTAAATGGTTAGACATAGATTTCAACATTCCACGAAGACTATTCATAACTGTTTTCATGAAATATTGGGAGGAATGATGGAATTAGCGAGAGAGGTTGCAGGGCCAGCATCCTTTAACGAAACATCAAATACGTCAGAGAGATTTAGGCACCTCAAAGAGATATTTTTGGTATAATATATGTTACTGATTTGATAATTTCTACACTGTTTGATATTTTTTACAAATTCTAATATTTTTGCTTTTTTAAAGGGGGCTATATGTGCGTTAGACGGACCTGATACATGCAGCTGTGCCTAGTGATCAACAAGCAAGATATAGAGGAAGAGGAAAATGCTACCAAAACATTGTAGCAATTTGTGACTTTAATATGATATTTACGTTTGTTTGGACTGGATGGGAAAAAAGACATTGCACATAATTCTAGAGTATTGAAAGAAGAAGTGTTTAACCCAACTTCGGGATTTCCTTTTCCTCCATCAAGTAATTATTTTTTTGCTTAATTCTAAAATATCATTATTTTTCTATATGTTTTAAGTTGTATATGTAATTGCAAATAAATATTATCTTTGTGATGTATCATAACTTGCACCCGAGGATTTATGACTCCATATCGCAATACAAGATATTGGTTAGCAAATTTTCGACGTCGATGTGCATTAAGTAAAGAAGAAATGTTCAATCATGCTCATGCACAACTTAGAAATGTTATCGAGCGTGCATATGATGTACTGAAAGCAAGATTTTCAATCCTAAAACAAATGGCTCTGTATCCTTTTCAAGTACAAAAATATGTAATGATTGCTTGCTTCACAATTCAGAACTTCATAAGGAAATGCAATATCCACGATCGATTATTTATGTAGTACGACGAGAACGCCATATTCACTACTACTGAAGAACAACATGAAGGAAGTAATGAGATTGAAGTCGATGAATGCAGTGGAGTTCTCAAGACAACGAATATATGACTAATTTACGTGATCATATTGCAAATCAATTACTGTCCAATACTTCAAATCAAGTTCTGAACACAAATTGTTGAAAATCAATTTATTTTTCTTGTCTAAATATATTTCAATTATGAAATTTGTAATTTTTGTCCATTCAACAATCATTCAAACATTATATTCGGTAACAGTTGCATTGTATTTGGCATTTCACCATGTATAAAGTTATAATGGTCATTTTTATCAGTCAGCAGCAAATCCAGAATGTTTGGTAAACACTCATTTTCTAATTAGCACTTGTTTTTAAACAAAGCTACTTACTCTAGTCAGACCTCTTACTCTAAACAACGCTTATTAGCTATTGTCGGTAAAAGAAATATCAATTTCATAGCCAGATATGATAAAAAGAAGTATAAATTATCGATGAATATTGGTTAGTGTATCAAAAAAATGACGAGACAAGATTCGATTTTGATGATAAAAAATATTTCATTTCTCCATTAGCATGTGTCATTCATCAGAAGTCATTACTTAAAATATCAGTTATTCATGAATATTCATGAGTGTATCCAAAGATCATGGAATAAGATAGTGATATTTTCCATGAATATGTTTCGTTCATCGGAAGTAATTCCTTAAGAAGACTTTTTTGTACCATCATTCATGGTCCATCAGTATGTTCTTTTGCTTTTAAGTTTAAAATAATTTCAGTTATTTCAAAATAAAAATAAGGTACTGATAATCACGCTATAAATTTCTTATATAGTAACACCAAGTTGATGTTGCAAGATATATGCTCGTGTAGTTTTCGTATACCATCAGCTATGATCAACATTTTGAAACTTGGATCATTTAATTATTTAAAAATGTTACTGATCGAATACGTTATCAAGTCAAGTATGGTGTTATCACCACTTTCAAGATGTTACGTTACATCCAAAAAAAATTATACAGATGTTTAAAAATATACTTAAACCTACAAAACAAAAGAACGTATATGGAGTTAAACTAACTCAGAACAGCCAGCGATACAACAATGAGGGTAGGCTGTTGCCGTGTCTCCCCTCAACTTTACACCCAACCCAATATTATTTATATAAACAATTAAAATTATAAAAAAACCACCCCAAAACGCAATAGATTTAGGTGTCGTTTACCAAACGCTTACATGGGTAAGCGCTTACCAAGTCACTTTTGATTTGAACCTGGGACCTCCTGGTACTTT